TGGGGAATTGTAGGTGGCTTGTTTCAGCTCGTTGTATCTTGTTATTGATACCATGCAGGGGCGGTGTGTTCATTAGGGCGATGCACTGCCAAACGGGAAAAGGAAGGGATTTTTTTTCTAATCAATTATATCACGGCAACAGTAGTTATCAGTGTTCTAATCTAGACGTCTGATCTGCCACTAAATGTCCAATCAGGCTAAAGTCGTGCTTCAAATGGCCCCGCCCCTTTTGGGGCGATTTCAGTCAGGTTGAAAATCGCCCCAGAAGTCTCTCATAGCCTGTCATGTAAAATCTTTTTTTTTCAAATATCAGAGCTTTCAATACAATCTCTATGGGTTTCTGAGGGCTTGCACTTACGCGCTTTCGTCATACGTAACATAACCATGAACGTAAACTAAGAAAAGAGCGGGTAGCAGCGTCAATCAATTCACGTACTACTATCAAGATGGCTAGCGTTCAGTGCAACTCGATTGTCTCTTTGAAAGAAGTTCACATCAAAGACCATTCAAAACGAGCTACTGGAGTGTATGCTAGCGGTCATGAGGGAACATATTGTGGAGGAGGTGAAGTCGGCGAACTTCGTAGCTATCCAAGCTGACGAGACCACGGACGTTTCTACACAGACACAGCTGGTGCTTGTGCTGAGGTACATAGATAGCAACCACAAAGTGCAGGATCGCTTTTTTGAGTTCCTTCCCATCTCGGAATCAACCTCAGTCTCAATCGCCAGTGTGCTTTTGGAGAGACTGAACGGTCTTTTTGCCGACGACGAGAAAGTCAAACTGTGGTGCACTGGCACTGTACCAGGTTCTCATGAGCTACAACCTCCAGGAGACGTTCTCTGAGACTGTGACTCTGTTGAACATCCTCATAACTACTCCCATGACAACAGCTGAAGCTGAGAGATGTTTCTCAACTTTGACACGAGTTAAGACATTCCTGCGAAATTCGATGGGCCAGGAACGTCTGAATGCACTGGCCATGCTTTCCATGGAGAGGGAACTAGTCCTCAGCATGCCTGATTTCAATGAGAAAGTCATTGACCGCTTTGCTGCATTGAAAGAGAGAAGAGAACAGTTTCAGTACAAGTAATGTAGCCTCTCTCTCTCTTTGTCCCTCCCTGTCTGTCTCTTTAACACACACACGCCCAAATCAGTTCACAGTTGATGTTGTTTAAAATAGTTATTTTTCATTTAAAAAAAAGTAAAAAAAATTAAATAATCTGTTCATGTTCATTTTTACAAATCTATACAATTGGCCAGAATATGGTTGTTCATATTTACAAATCTATACAATTGGCCAGAATATGGTTGTTCATTTTTACAAAGCCATACAGATAGCTGTGTTTACCTTTTCTATAAATTATTTTCAAATTCTGTTTTCAGGCAAAATGTCTATCACTGTTCATTTTCACAAATCTATACAAGAGGGCAGAATATGGAAGTCTATAAAAATTTATTATTACCAATAACTTGCATCAATGTTTTCAGTAGCCTCTATCAAAAGCTCCTGCTTGCTTGTTGTGAATTATGCTCAGGTGCACATATTTCCAATTCAACCATGAGGCAAAAAATGTGGTAAAAGCTCTTGTTGATCCTGCAATCTGAACAAATACCAAGATGCTGTATTTTCAGCTGATATTTCATTTGTTTATGGAAATGCATATTGTTTATGCAGTGTTGAGGAATGTGAAAGAACACCCTTGATTATTTTTACTGTGATAACTTATTTTGCTTTTGTAAGCCAACACTTTTGAGATCAGTCAATAAATGCTTCTGGCATTGACTTATATGCTGCCCCTGTCTTCATGTTGTTGCTGGACATATTATTATTATTATTTTTTGTCATTTAGCAGACGCTCTTATCCAGAGCGACTTACAGGAGCAATTAGGGTTAAGTGCCTTGCTCAAGGGCACATCGACAGATTTTTCACCTAGTCGGCTCAGGGATTAGAACCAGCGACCTTTCGGTTACTGGCACAACGCTCTTACCCACTAAGCTACCTGCCGCCCTACATATCTTTTTTAAAATGTGTGTAGGTCACCTAAATCATCAGAAAAATTGCCCCCCCTGAGAATTTTTTCAGGAGCCGCCACTGATACCATGTCTAGTTTTGATGTGTTTTGACTTGTCATGCCTATGCTAATATGGCTAAAAGTCACTAGGTAGTTAACCAAAATTAACCAACAACTTTAAAGATGAACTTGAAAGACAAGTGCTCATAGTGCAGATGTATTTATGTTTTCAATAAAGATTAGGAGAGTAAATCTGCTTTACATCTTGTCAACAATCCTTTGATTCTATGCCAACTCCACCTTGCTTGACTGCATTGCTTGACTGCTGTGAGGGTGATAAGCACAATATCGTTAGCGAACTGCAGCGCCCTCAAACAATTCGTTCTCAAGTTCAAGTTTGTTGAGCATAACCTTTTCCGCAACCCGACCAAATTCACATAGAAATGTGAGTTATAAATCCGTCATTCTCATTGAAAGCAAGTCTAAGACGCGGTAGATATTTTCTCTACGTGGTCCTCTGTAGCTCAACTTGGTAGAGCACGGCGCTTGTAACGCCAAGGTAGTGGGTTCGATCCCCGGGACCACCCATACACAAAAATGTATGCACGCATGACTGTAAGTCGCTTTAGATAAAAGCGTCTGCTAAATGGCATATTATTATTATTATTATTATTATTATTATTATTATTACTATATACGCTACTTCTATGCTTCCTGTCCTTAAGTTTCATTTTTGCGTCTTACTTTCGGTTTTGTACACCAGCTTCAAACGGGTTATTGAAAATATATTTCACAGCGGTTTAGATGGTACAATGATTCTCTACACTATTGCCTGTTTTGTCACAAACTGAAATTAGGCAAACTATTAGATTTTTTGCAACCAGGAAATGGCAGAGCGATTTCTGCATATTGCACCTTTGATTCAATCATTATTGCACCATGCGATCAATTATCAGTTTAAACATGTATTTTTCTTATCTATGCTGCCTTCAGCATGATCTATTTTCCTGCGCGCATATGACAGGCAGTTGTTGGTCAGAGCCCGTCTCTGGAGCCACTGGGCATGTATCAATCATGCTGTAGGACTTATTATGGCCAGCAGATCAAACGAACGACTAAAATGACAGGTCACTCAGAAAAACGAATCATGACTCTCGAGCCAGTAAAAAGAGTTGTTCAAAAAGCACAAATCATTCACCAACTGCACATCACTACAACCCATATGATGTCCCACCCAGTTGACGACTTCAAAAGGGTGAAAGTAATAAATTGCGCTGCGCAGGCTAAAACAGGCTTCTGGGCACTAAAGTCACAGATAGAACAAGGAGCCAGATGTTTCACCGGATGTATAAATCTGAAGCATCCGGGTGGAATTTCCACCCCCCACCACATATGGTGAGGAGAGGAAGCCCAGTGGTCGGCAGTGGGAGAGTATGGAGCGAGATGGAACTCGGTTGACATTCTGCTGATTTTTCGAAGAAAAGCCCAACCTCAATAAATGTTTCTGTTTCCAAAACTTCCAAAGTTTTGTAGACGTGACCATTTGACAAAGTTGTAAAAAATGGTGTTGTTTACAAAAAGTGCAAGGGCAAATTGAGTTATTTCACACATGTGCTTCACAAAGAAGGCGTTCCCTAAAATAAATATGCAAATACATGCTAGAATGCTCCAATAGGATCTTACTAGCTCGTGCTTGGCTCTGCCCACCTCCTTGCATTTTTCTGCCCACTATGCTTCATTGCTCCCATTGAAAACTACACTATATATACAAAAGTATGTGGACATCCCTTCAAATTAGTGGATTTGGCTATTTCAGCCACACCAATTGCTGACAGGTGTATAAAATCGAGCACACCGCCATGCAATCTCCATAGACAAACATTGGCAATAGAATGGCCTTACTCAAGAGCTCAGTGACTTTCAACGTGGCACCGTCATAGGATGCCACCTTTCCAACAAGTCAGTTCGTGAAATTTCTGCCCTGGTCAACTGTAAGTGCTGTTATTGTGAAGTGGAAACGTCTAGGAGTAACAACGGCTCAGCCGTGAAGTGGTAGGCCACACAAGCTCACAGAACAGTACCGCCGAGTGCTGAAGCGCATAGCTTGTAAAAAACAGTCTGTACTCCGTTGTAACACTCACTACAGAGCTCCACACTGCCACTGGAAGCAACGTCAGCACAATAACTGTTAGTCGGGAGCTTCCTGAAATGGGTTTCCATTGCCGAGCAGCAGCACACAAGCCTAAGATCACCATGTGCAATGCCAAGCGTCGGCTGGAGTGGTGTAAAGCTCGGCGCCATTGGAAACGTGTTCTCTGGAGTGATGAATCATGCTTCACCATCTGGCAGTCCGATGGACGAATCTGGGTTTGGCGGATACCAGGAGAACGCTACCTGCCCCAATGCATAGTGCCAACTGTAACGTTTGGTGGAGGAGGAATAATGGTCTGGGGCTGCTTTTCATGGTTCGGGCAAGGCCCCTTAGTTCCAGTAAAGGGAAATCTTAAGGCTACAGCATACAATTACATTCTATATGATTCTGTGCTTCCAACTTTGTGACAGGCCCTTTCCTGTTTCAGCATGACAATGCCCCCGTGCATAAAGCGAGGTCCATACAGAAATGGTTTGTTGAGATAGGTGTGGAACAACTTGACTGGCCTGCACAGAGCCCTGACCTCAACCCCATCGAACACCTTTGGGATGAATTGGAACGCCGACTGCGAGCCAGGCCTAATCGCCCAACATCTTGTGGCTGAAGGAAGAAAGTCTCCGCAGCAATGTTCCAACATCTAGTTTAAAGCCTTCCCAGAAGAGTGGAGGCTGTTATAGCAGCAAAGGGGGGACCAACTCCATATTAATGCCCATGATTTTGGAATTAGATGTTCGACGAGCAGGTGTCCACATACTTTTGGTCATGTAGTGTACCTTGGGTTAGTGATACATATCTTTGCTAAAGTCCTCTCTCTCTCTAGTTTGGTCATACCTCTCATCACTGTCCTCACAGAGCGGACAAGGATCATGAGCTGCACTTTGATGCCTGGTTCATCACCAAATCCACCAACACTTTGGTCCACACCCCAGCCAACTAGAGGGAATAAAGAAATGCAATATTATATGGCCCTGGGCCATAAGAGGCAGATCATTCAATAAACCTAAAGCGTTTCCACGTATTACTGGTGTAGCTAGCTAGCTAACGTCAGCAAACCACTGTTGAAAGTAATACTAAACAAAATATGCACAGGCACTTACTTTTACTTAAAAATCTCTCTTCGTGCAATACGGCGACAGCATTAACACACAAAATCACCGCTTGAATAAGGGAATATAATGTAAACGCCATAGCTATCTGTAAAGTGTTAGCTAGCTAACGTTAGCAACTTAACGTATTTCTTGTGACGTTGCGTAAATGTAGCTATGGCAGCTTAAGAAGGACGAATTGAACGAGCAGTTCGAACGCGTGACTTCCTGAAAAGTGAGTGACACACAGTAAATGGCCAATGTAATACCAATAATGTATAATAATAATCCATACTCATGGCCAAAGGGGTAGCTATTGATTTGATGGTGTAAGTGCTTGAAAACGTTGTCCTAGAACTAATATTCCTGAGAGGCTAGGAATTTAAACGTAGACACATATCATTGGATGGCTATCTCCTTTAATAAGAACACCTCAATATCTCCTTCATTTGCACTGATTTACTACAACGTTAAAGTTTAATTTCTGTAGATGAGAAACGGTAAACATGAGGACGCCACTGTAGACTGAGATCAGTGGCAAACATTCGTGTTAATAAAGATGGAAAGAAACATGGTCATCATGAGAATAAAAATCTTTATTAGTGTTTTATGAAGTCTGCATAATATGCCACACGCCTGAGAAGCTTATGGTCAGAAAAAACCCCTGCACTATCAATAACGCCCTCTACTGGTAATACAACTGACAACTACTATACTGACTGCTTTGCAAATATTTTACTGTTAAATACACATATTACTGTTCTACTGTTATGCATTATGTACGTCTGGTCCACTTCAGATTTGTTATGTACTCTCTTCACATTCATATCTTGTAAGCCATTGGTACAAGGCTTCAACACTGGACCCTAACACATGGTTCAGTTCCCCAAATCCAAACTCACTACAGTAGTTGCACTTACAAAGTACAATCACTAGTGCCGTAAGGTTAACAGATTAATAACATCAAAAGGAGAAGGGAGAAAACAGATGTTTAAAAAATCTTGCAACAGCCACAAAATGACAATGGCAGACTGCAAGCTCAGTCTTGTTGTACATACTGTATTTTATAGACAAGAACAAATACAATACACACACTAATACAGAATCTATGTCCCAGTGTGCAGTTTCATTTCTCATGTAAGAACATGGAATACTGCCAAGTTTCTGTAACATTTAGCTAAAAAAAAAAATATCACTGTTTTATGGTTGACCTTTTATCCTTTATTGAGCACCAAATGGCTTCCAAGAGTGAAGAGATGAATGAGTCAAAAAAAGTTAATACAACATGCCTCTGAGTCACATAACCTAACCATACATTGCAGGAAAACAGATATCAGGTTACAGGCATTTAAGCTTTGATTTGTGTAATTTTGATGCAACAGTTTCTTTGAGGTTTAAAAAAAAAAAAAAAAAAAAACATACCTGTTTACATTACGTGGGGCAGTGTTTTTCTTACCAAGGCAAGGGCTTAAATTGGAATTAGATTAAAGTTGAACCTTTAAAAAATAAAAAAAGGAATGATCCATGCTCTCCATAGATTGCGAGCCATGTCACTTAAAAACAGGCGGTCTTGAAAATATTAACTCTAATAAAAAGTGAATGACAGAAGAACATTTAAGTATATTTATATATAAAAATACATGAGAATACAAAAAAGTAGCAAAAGAAAGGGGATATAGGCTAAACACAATATAGAATTCACTGATACCTTCAATTCTCCAAGTGAAATAACCGTTCAATAATTCACCTCGAGAGACTTAGACACCCAGTGAAACATCAGAAAAAGCTTTTACAGCTGATATTCTCTGGTCCCTGCCCTGTGCATCCAAACCTAAGCAAGTTCAGGACTTACTAGCCTGCATTCTGAGGCTGTGTGTGGTGCAAATGAAACATAGGCTACCTATAATAACATTGAGGATGCCATATAATGACAAAGAGCTCAAATTCATGTCAACTATAGCCAGATTGATTTTGCAGCTTGTTTCGTTTTTTTTGCTAAACATTCCTATATGTCCATTAAGAAGTGTGTCTTACAACGACACACATCTGGAATAAAAAAAATGAAATATTCTGACAAGAGTAAAGAGTTAATTACGTCAATTAAGCAATTACATTTAAAAAACATAATTTAGCATTTCCTTTAAAGGAGAAAGCAACAAAGGCCATCTTAATTTCTTAACCAAGCTAACTCCCCCTGACAAAAAAAAGATGGATCCATGTTTCCCAGAGAAAAGTTACCCCATGGTCAAAAAGATGGATGAATATATTTAGCATTTATGCTTGTGTTACTTATACAAGCATTCTCTTACTGAGAAACTATGTGTAGAATCTTTTTTGGTATTTCCCCTGCCTACAACAATTCATCCCTGGACTTTAAAACCATTATACATTTTATTTGTACCACAAATAGATCTAATATTAAGGATTTGGGGAAAAGCAATTTAACAAGGTGCAACACAAAGATGGGTAACAAAGTGCCAAATTATATTCTGACAAGTCTGTCTCACTGCGTGTGTGCGTTTAGACAGGGACATGGCGCTAGGCCACAAATACTATGAAGTATGTTACAGCAGAAATTAATTCTGCAGCTTTTTTTTCACGATGGGACTCAAGTTAGAATTTTATGATCTTTGAGTGGGCGACTATTTGGGTCGTTTTCTAGGATTATGACATACTGGAGCAACGTACAGAAGGGGAACCCATCTGAGTCAACACTTTGTCCAGCCATTGCAGGGGTCCATTTAAATGCAGCTCAATCCAGCAGGGAGTGCTTGTGACAGTCTGCCGTCTGGGAGACAAAAAAGACAACAACAAAGCCAAATTAGTGAAATCACTCGGCATGCAAGCAAGCACAGGAACATCACCCAAAAACAAAGGTTAGCCTGAACTTTTTTTTACTTCTTGCCCTGTAACAGAGGTATTGTTGAAGATTGACAAGTAACGTTTGAATACCCCTCCAGCTCCTTAAACATTCCAAACTGTCTACAAATCCAGAAAAGCGGACCATTAGCAAGCTACAATGTTATTTTATGTATGCCAATGATTACATTAACTTTACCTTCTTCCTCCGACTATCCATCTTCTACTAACTACTTAGATGTGTACAACTGCAAGAATAAAAGTATTATTGTAATAGTCGGTCATCATGCTTGCCTGTATTCAGCCCCCCAACCTTTGACAAAGCTCATGCGGATGGTGCACATCCTGGTGAGCTGGTACACAGCCTCAAAGCCCTGGTTTACGGACTGGGCCAGCAGGGCTGCAAACTCCTGGTTGTTAAAGATCTTCAGGTTACAACCTGAGGGGGCGAGGGGAGGAGAGGGTCAGCTTGGAATCATGTATGGACTTTGTTTAGAACATAACAAGTAAAGCCTGCAGAACAAGTAAAGCCTGCTATCAATATTATATTGGCTGTAGAAGCAAGTAGAAAGACTAACTAAACATGGAATCTAAACCTGAGAAAACATATTAGTAATACTATGAAATTATTATAGAAGTGAGCACATCAGAAATCAAAGAGATGGTTTTTGTCTAAGTTACCTGGAGGAATTTTGCAAACGGTTGCTGGGTGCCATCCATACCGCTGGTTGCAGTTTGGACTCTGAACAAAGATGGCGCTATCACTGAGACACTCAGCAAACACCTCACCGCCAATATAGTACAGCCTGACTCCTCTTCCTGTGGAATAATGCAAAATATACTGAACAAAAATAAACGCAACATGCAACAATTTCAACGATTTTACTGAGTTAGAGTTCATATAAGGAAAACAGTCCATTGAAATAAATCAATGGATTTCACATGACTGGGAATACATATGCATCGGTTGGTCCCAGATACTTTTTTTAAAAGGTAGGGGCGTAGATCAGAAAACCAGTCAGTATCTGGTGACCACCATCTGCCTCATGCAGCACGACACATCTCCTTCTCATAGAGTTGATCAGGCTGTTGATTGTGGCCTGTGGAATGTTGTCCCACTCATCTTCAATGGCTGTGCGAACTTGCTGGATATTGGCGAGAACTGGAACATGTCATATACGTCGATCCAGAGCATCCCAAACATGCTCAATGGGTGACATGTATGGTGTGTATGCAGGCCATGGAAGAACTGGGACATTTTCAGCTTCTAGGAATTGTGTGCAGATCCTTGCAACGCGGGGCCGTGCATTATCATGCTGAAACATGAGGTGATGGCGGCGGATGAATGGCACGACAATGTATCTCTGTGCATTCAAACGCTCCCTTAAAACTTTAGATTTTTGTGGCATTGTGTTGTGTGACAAAACTGCACATTTTAGAGTGGCCTTTTATAATGTGTAATGATCATTCAGCTTCTTGATATGCCACACCTGTCAGGTAGATGGATTATCTTGGCAAAGGAGAAAAGCTCACTAACAGGGATGTAAACACATTTGTGCACAAAATTTGAGAGAAATAAGCCTTTTGTGCGTAAGGAACATTTCTGGGATCTTTTATTTCAGCTCATGAAACATGGGATCAACACATTGCATGTTGTGTTTATATTTGTGTTCAGTGTAAATAAGCATGAGTATTTCAGGTATAAAACAGTGCTGAGCTATTTTATTAAACTAATTGACCAACATCTCTTCAATTACTTTAATTCTAGGTCCAACATGCCGTTTCTTTAGAGAGAAATCAAGTCAAGAACTATGTGGGATGATGGGCTGAAGTGTTCATTAATCAAATATTCAACCTAGTTCAGCGCAGAAACGGGGTAATTTACTACAATGACCGTAATCCATTGTGCCAGTTTTTTTCAGGCTCAGAGAGGAAGAGGCGAAGTGAGAGGTTTCACTCTCGCCAAAATCTGTCTAAAATAAGCCCAATCCGTTTCTATGGGTTTATTTTGGACCTAAGCTTGTCGCCTGCCTTACCACCTTTGGGACGACGCCCATTGTTTACAAATCTCTGGACGGATACACTTTTACGCCTGCTACGTTAGATACACACCGCACGGAACACAACGACGAGAGGGACAGAGACAATTTGTTTAAGTATACCTTTATCTACCTTGAAGAACTAGTCAAATGAATTAGTCAGAAAGATCTACAGAATACTTAGGCAGGCTAGCTAAATTGGATGACTAAATAATAATAAAGTCGTGGCCTCCCGAGTGGCGCAGCGGTCTAATGCACTGCATCGCAGTGCTTGAGGCGTCACTTCAGACCCGGGTTCGATCCCGGGTCGGCGCACAATTGGCCCAGCGTTGTCCGGGTTAGGGGAGGGTTTGGCCGGGGGGGCTTTAATTGGCTCATCGCGCTCTAGCGACTCCTTGTGGCGGGCCGGGTGCCTGCAGGCTGACTTCAGTCATCAGTTGAACGGTGTTTCCTCTGACACATTGGTGCGGGTGGCTTCCGGGTTAAGCGGATGGGTGTTAAGAAACGCGGTTTGGGGGGTCATGTTTCGGAGGACGCATGACTCAACCTTTGCCTCTCCCGAGCCCGTTGGCGAGTTGCAGCGATGAAACAAGATTGCAATTGGATATCACTAAATTGGGGAGAAAAAGGGGGTAAAATACAAAAAATATAATAATAATAATAATAATGTCATCAAATAAAAACGAAGTAATATACACTACTGAAATATTTTATTATTTCATAGTAATTTCCTATTTTCTATTGACGTCTACCCAATGTGGACCTGACAGAGACAAATTGAATATTTTCAATGTTTTGGCAATTGAATGTTCACTATTTTGGGCTTTGGCATTTCCATTAAAAAGCTCTAAAAATCATTGTAACATCTTTATTTCATAATACATTTAATGTTTTTAAAAAATTTATTATCGAAAACCGTGATTATTTTTTATATTTTCGAACCGAAACGACCTCAAAAAGCACTAATCGCTCAGCACTAACAAAACATCTGTTAAATCACAGCACAAATCCTGTGCAAATCTGAATTGGCACCATATTCCTTTTGGCCAGAGCCTTCAAAAGTAGTGCACTACATAGGGAATAGTGTGCCTCTTGTGACGTAGCCCGTTGTACCTATGTGCCTCCTGGTCATCTCCACAGTGGCGTTCCTGTTGACGTTGGAGAGCAGTCCCAGACAAAAACGCTCTGAGTTGGAGGGGTCTGTGAAACCGTCCACGGTCAGAGAGGGCTGCGAAGCGTGGAATGTCTCTCCAACACGCTGGTTCAGCTCATAGTAAGCTATAGAGCACCAGAACGCAGGCTCAGAGTAAGTCACCGGCTGCAGGTCTGAAAAAAAAAAAAAGGGGGGGGGATGTCATGATAAAAGGCAACTACACATGTTGACAGGAGTAGACCAATGATCTCCAGAGTGGGCACTGGGCTGTCTAAATAGTACTCAATGAATTTGGTCAAATTTCAGATTATAAATGACTGATGCTTCAGACATCGAGCAGGTGTGGAGAGACAGTTATTCTTACCCATGCTATGATTGACAGGTGAGAGGGTGCCGGGGGACAATTCAGCAGGAGAACCTGATAATAATACAAATACAAAATAAAATTCAGGAAATTATAAAGTTGCATGGTCGGATTTATTGTTGCAAAGAATCCACTAAGATATTTAATCAACAAATCGAAACGTGACAGTTTGACAACTGTTTTCTTACTTATTTTATGTTAGAACTACCTATTTGAGGTTAGTGGAATATACCTGTGTCCATACTTTGATTCATCGGTTGATCGCTGGCTTCCCCATCCTCACTTATGTATCCAGGTGGTGGCGTTTCTATAGTAACAGGGGAGGGAAAATACTGATGAACTGAACCTGATGTATCGTTATCATGACGGCCATTTGCATTTCAACTCATGGTAGATGCACAAACCTGGTATGTAGTTATTTGGAGGCTCGATCCCCGCAGGAAAGTTTGTGTTCTCAGGTATGGAATGAGTGTAGTCATCCAATGGGGGAAGTTCTGTCAGAATTTCAGAGTGTCTTGGCACAAGTACAGGAGGCAGAACTAGAGGAGAGAAGATTCTTCAAATGTCAAACAAAGTTCAAAGAAGTGACATCTTTACAAAATATCAATGAAGACTATTCCCACGTATCCCATCTTTTTTTCATGTCTCATGCCAGCATAAATAATCGCACAACTAGCTGTTAACATGGGCTTTTATGGCACCTACAAGTCAGCACACACACTAGTGGTTCAAAAGACAACCTACCCGGGGTCTCCACCCTCTGGTAGTGGTAGGGGTTGATGCAGACCTCATCCTTCTTGAGGTGGAAGGCGTACTCGCAGGCCTCGATGGCACGCAGTTCATGGTGGCTGTGCAGGTCGGGCCATCGCCACATGCGGCAGTAGATGACATGAGGAAGACCCTTTCTGTGGGAGACCTGCAGGCGCCCATCCAGGGATCTGACAGGATGGGCAATGGAGGAAATAGATGAGAATTGAAAGTGTAAAGGAAGGAAGAAATGGGGGAGGAAACGATAGGAAGAAGAGAAGAAGAATAGATGGAGATGCATGTGGCCAGGAAGACAAAAGGTGGGGGTGTGGAGAGGGGAGGAGGGGAGTGATGAGGTGAGAATGATAGAGGCATGAATGGAATTTGTGTTCTCAATGTCTCTCACCCCCCTAGAATGATTACTTCCCACATCAAGGTTGTACAACAGTATGTAGCACAGGACAGTTGAGGATAGATAGTCACCTGGTTTGGTCAGGGTAGCTGTATAGGCCTGAGGTATCCCACTGTTCTATCGTATTTGGTGTACTCAGTCCCCATATTTCAGAGCAATTGCTGTGCACAGAAAAACCAAACAAAACAAAAACAAATGATAAACATGGGGCATGAGTCATTCAGAAATACCAGTATGGGTAATGTAAACATTAAAAGGCCTCTTTTATTAGAGTAATTTTCAATTAGGTATTTCAGGAACTGAAAAAAGACACGCCAAATAAGAGAAGCCTTTTGACGGAATAAAGAAAAACGGCATAAAATGGGAATACAGCAGAGGAGGCTGGTGGGAGGAGCTCTAGGAGTAGCGGTTCATTGTAATGCCTGGAATGGAATTAATGGAACGAAGTCAAACATGTGGTTTCCATATGTTTAATACTGTTCCATTAATTCCATTCCAGCCATTACAATGAGCCCGCCCCCTTATAACTCATCCCACCAGCCTCCTCTGGAGTATAGTAGTATATACAAAGAAACAGTATGCAAGACAAAAAAACATTACTAATGTTACTGTGGCATTGTCCAAATATTCTGAATAACTGAAACTTTTCCACCACAGCTGTGTAGGTTGGAAGCACTTGACTTAATCTTGAGACATTCAAGTAAACACAGAAGACACACAATGGGACTAAAAGAAAAGAAGGGTGCAACCTTGGAAAAAAAGTACATTTCCATTTAATCACCCTCTACAACTCACTTTGTGATTCTAATGACACGTAGAAAGAAATGATCAGAAAATTAACTCTAGAAATGAAATACAAATGGAATGGGGAAATATGATGTGATATTTGCTTCTGATACAATATCCAGAATCAGAATTCAGAGCTGGTATAGCCTACCGCAGACGTGGGACTGAATCTAAACTACAGGCTAGGCCTATATGTTTTGTGTTCCTAAAAGAGCTCTGAAATAGGTTCTAAACTTCCCTCTAATATACAAGCATGACACATGGAGATTGGCGAGTTGCAATCAGGGCTCTAAATTAAACACTCATTGGTAGCACTGCTGTGCCCAACTTAAAGTTAGGAGCACAACATAACATTTAGGAGCAACAGAAAATACGATTTTAAATTGATATACAGTGAGGGAAAAAAGTATTTGATCCCCTGCTGATTTTGTACATTTGCCCACTGACAAAGACATGATCAGTCTATAATTTTAATGGTATGTTTATTTGAACAGTGAGAGACAGAATAACAACAAAAAAATCCAGAAAAACGCATGTCAAAAATGTTATAAATGTATTTGCATTTTAATGAGGGAAATAAGTATTTGACCCCTCTGCAAAACATGACTTAGTACTTGGTGGCAAAACCCTTGTTGGCAATCACAGAGGTCAGACGCTTCTTGTAGTTGGCCACCAGGTTTGCACACATCTCAGGAGGGATTTTGTCCCACTCCTCTTTGCAGATCTTCTCCAAGTCATTAAGGTTTCGAGGCTGACGTTTGGCAACTCGAACCTTCAGGTCCCTCCACAGATTTTCTATGGGATTAAGGTCTGGAGACTGACTAGGCCACTCCAGGACCTTAATGTGCTTCTCCTTGAGCCACTCCTTTGTTGCCTTGGCCGTGTGTTTTGGGTCATTGTCATGCTGGAATACCCATCCACGACCCATTTTCAATGCCCTGGCTGAGGGAAGGAGGTTCTCACCCAAGATTTGACGGTACATGGCCCTGTCCATCGTTCCTTTGATGCGGTGAAGTTGTCCTGTCCCCTTAGCAGAAAAACTCCCCCAAAGCATAATGTTTCCACCTCCATGTTTGACGGTGGGGATGGTGTTCTTGAGGTCATAGGCAGCATTCCTCCTCCTCCAAACACGGCGAGTTGAGTTGATGCCAAAGAGCTCGATTTTGGTCTCATCTGACCACAACGCTTTCACCCAGTTCTCCTCTGAATCATTCAGATGTTCATTGGCAAACTTGAGACGGGCATGTATATATGTGCTTTCTTGAGCAGGGGGACCTTGCGGGAGCTGCAGGATTTCAGTCCTTCACGGCGTAGTGCGTTACCAATTGTTTTCTTGGTGACTATGGTCCCATCATTGACAAGATCCTCCCGTGTAGTTCTGGGCTGATTCCTCACTGTTCTCATGATCATTGCAACTCCACAAGGTGAGATCTTGCATGGAGCCCCAGGCCGAGGGAGATTGACAGTTCTTTTGTGTTTCTTCCATTTGCGAATAATCGCACCAACTGTTGTCACTTTCTCACCAAGCTGCTTGGCGATGGTCTTGTAGCCCATTCCAGCCTTGTGTAGGACTACAATCTTGTCCCTGACATCCTTGGAGAGCTCTTTGGTCTTGGCCATGGTGGAGAGTATGGAATCTGATTGATTGATTGCTTCTGTGGATAGGTGTCTATTATACAGGTAACAAACTGAGATTAGGAGCACTCCCTTTAAGAGTGTGCTCCTAATCTCAGCTCGTTACCTGTATAAAAGACACCTTGGAGCCAGAAATCTTTTTGATTGAGAGGGGGTCAAATACTTATTTCCCTCATTAAAATGCAAATCAATTTAAAACATGCGTTTTTCTGGATTTTTTTGTTGTTATTCTGTCTCTCACTGTTCAAATAAACCTACCATTAAAATTAGACTGATCATTTCTTTGTCAGTGGGCAAACGTACAAAATCAGCAGGGGATCAAATACTTTTTCCCCTCACTGTATAGCCTATATTGGGCCTATATGAATTCTAGCTACTTTTGTGGATTATTAGGTTTCTACACTGTGTAAAAGCACTACCTATTGAGATTAATTACATCGAAAATTATACACTCAACCCTCTTTAGTCTAAGCCTTTAGAGGGTGATATCTAGTAAGCTAATACACAGATTGTTTTTAAAGATGGTCATACCATGGATCATTTAGCTATTTGATTTGGACTTTTAGGACCCCTGTAGGTATACAAAAATATATAGCGATACAGTACCAGTGAAAAGTTTGGACACCTACTCATTCCAAGTTTATTTTTCTTTAGTTTTACTATTTTCTACATTGTAAAATAATAGTGAAGACATCAAAACTATGAAATAACACATATGGAATCATGTAGTAACCAAAAAAAAGTGTTAAACAAATCAAAACATATTTTATATTTGAGATTCTTCAAATAGCCACCATTTGTGTGTGTTGTGACTAGGTAGATACAGAAGACCAAGTCCATATTATGGCAAGAACAGCTCAAATAATAAAAAAAGAAACGACAGTCCATCATTACTTTAAGATATGGTCAGTCAATCCGGAAAATTTCAAGAACTTTGAAAGTTTCTTCAAGTGCAGTTGCAAAAACCATCAAGCGCCATGATGAAACTGTCTCTCATGAGGACCGCCACAGGAAAGGAAGACCCAGAGTTACCTCTGCTGCAAAGGATAAGTTCATTAGAGTTCAAAGCCTCAGAAATTGCAGGCCAAATAAATGCTTCACGGAGTTCAAGTAACAGACACATCTCAACAGCAGAGGAGAATGTGTGAATCAGGCCTTCATGGTCGTATTGCTGCAAAGAAACCACTACTAAAGGACACCAATAATAAGAAGAGACTATCTAGGCCAAGAAACACGAGCAATGGACATTAGACCGGTGGAAATCTGTCCTTTGGTCTGAGATTTTTGGTTCCAACCGCCGTGTCTTTGTGAGATGCAGAGTAGGTGAATGGATGATCTCCGCATGTGTGGTTCCCACCGTGAAGCATGGAGGAGGTGGGGTTATGGTGTGGGGGTGCTTTGCTGGTGACATTGTCAGTGATTTATTTAGAATTCAAGGCACACTTAACCAGCATGGCTACCACATGTTACGCCATCCCACCTGGTTTGCGCTTAGTTGGACTATCATTATATTTAAACAGGACAATGACCCAAAACACACATCCAGGCTGTGTAAGGGCTATTTGACCAAGAAGGAGAGTGACGGAGTGCTGCATCAGATGACCTGGCCTCTACAATCACCCGACCTCAACCCAATTGAGATGGTTTGGGATGAGTTGGACCGCAGAGTGAAGGAAAAGCAGCCAACAAGTGCTCAGCATATGTGGGAACTCCTTCAAGACTGTTGGAAAAGCATTCCTCATGAAGCTGGTTGAGAGAACGCCAAGAGTGTGCAAAGCTGTCAAGGCAAAGGGTGGCTATTTGAAGAATCTCAAATATAAAATATTTTGATTTGTTTAACACTGTTTTGGTTACTACATGATTCCATGTGTTATTTCATAGTTTTGATGTCTTCACTATTATTTTCTATGTAGAAAATAGTAAAAATAAAGAAAACACTGGAATGAGTAGGTGTGTCCAAACTTTTGACTGGTACTGTATATATAAAAGCAATTATTTGCTGAAACATTGAATTTGACCTTACTGCTATTAGCCCATAGAAACGCATTGAATAACACATTCATACATGCCAAAACATAGTATACATATATTTTTTAAATCAAAATGATGTACGTTTTGAAGTGCCTGCCCTATATCTGAAAGATATAAGAAAGCTCATGATAGGCTTGGGCGATATACCGTATACCGGGGTATTTAGAAATACTGACGGTATGATTTTCAATACCGTGCTACACCACTGCTTATAACTAACTATAAGTTAAGAATCACTATAAGAAATCTAATATGTGTCAAATAAATTATATCCAGCTCAGGGCTCCAGCTATGCATTTGGTTTGCTAACTTGCTATCTAAGTGGCTAGATGTCAAGATCAAGCTTCTTGGTTACAGCAGATGCATTCAATCCCCTCATGGATCAAGATTCCCGTTGCCTAATTTGTTTTGTGCGTCGAAATAGCGCCCCTTGTGTGCACATTCGGTAATACTGTATTCCCCGGTATAATACAGAAACGATATGAAAATCTGGATCGCACCAAACCCTAGCTCATGGCATGCAAATGTAGACCCACATTTAAAGTTTGGGCATATTCTACTTATTAACTTTTTTACTGCCTGGTACCGGGTTACCTTCAGAAAAGTATTGTGAAGCTTGTGGGCGTGAATTCTAGGGATGGGCGATGTCTGGAATGACACATTGTTCCATCGTCCAGTCCAAACATAGTTGATATACGATTGTATCGTTTATTTTTTTTCTTTGGCCGGAAGAACGCAATAGAAAAAGGATACATTGGTTATATAAGAACTGTGATTTGGTGCATAATGTAATTCTTATTTAAATTGTTACAAAAGCCACACAATGTCATTAAATCACTGTTCAAACAAAATTGCAGAATTATTTTCTAATTGGTAGGGCTATGTTTCTCAGATATCAGTTATATTAGCCTACCTTTTAAAAAACGAATATTATAGCTGTATCAAGTGTAGGCTATTGTCATTTCTTCTTGATAATCTGGGTTAGCGCATTTGCGACATTCTTCCATTAGGCTACTTTCCGACAGTTTCAGACTGTAATTTTTTATTTATTTTTTTAAAGTGACAGGATTTCACTTAGTAACTATATTATAGACTGCCTTCGCTAAATCAGAAAGAAACGATGGCTGACTTGGTGGGAAAGAAAACTATGTGTTCGCCTTTTTGGCAGTTCTTCGGTTTAAGGCTGAATGATAAAGGTGAGCCAGCAGACCTGACCCAAGTCACTTGCAGAATATGCAAAAAGATTCAGGGCAAAGGATGGACAGACTACAAACCTCCGTCATCCTGCAGAGTTAGCTACTCTGGGGGAGACCATGCTGGTGTTCCTTGTTATAAAGAATGTTACAAATAATTTGTTTTATCCGATAGTATATTTAGGATTTTTACAGTTCGATAGGCAGAAAGGCACAGCCTAAGGATGATAGACCTACTCATTTTTAGCCCAACGTTCATTTAAGTGTTATAAAGAATGTTACAGGCTAAATAATAACTTGTTTTATCTGATTGTTGTTGACTTCTATATAAATGCACAATTTGTAAGCTATTCAAATTAAAGTTGTTTGTGAGACAAATCCAATTTTATTTTTTGTTCACACTTATGGAAAGTGCTGCTGCAGGAGTTTTTCAAGTACGTTGTGCAATTCAAGAACATTAATAAACACTTAGACAATATTAAATATTAGTTTAACTTGTCAAAGTAACGTTTACTGCAACTGTTATTGACGGTAGCCTATGTGTAGTCCTATATTATTGTCTGTTTGGTTTGCAAGGATACATTTTCCAACAGCACAATTTATTTTGCCAACACGTTGGTCAAGTAAAGAAGAAACGTATCAGGTTTGTTTAAACTTCCTATTCGATTACTCTCTTGCAATTGTTTGTTCTCTCTCTCTCTCGTTGTTACTATACTATGTGTTATTTTGGCTATTAGCAAACAACTTTGAGATGGAACTCCGTTAGGCCTATAGATTCATTCGATCGTTGATCATGAAAGAGTAGGCTATGCCTAGGCCAACAAGTCACATTCAAATCAAATGGGGATTAGAGAAAAAAGGGGAAATTAAGATTTTAAAACAATAAGCAAGACAACGGCGTGTCCGCTGCAAAAGGCCCATGATCATCCGACTTTGGAGGAGAGAGAAAAAAAACGTTAGGCCCTATCTGACCTTTTGTGCTGCTTTGATGCTCTTCGCTCCTTCTACATTGTTCTCTTGCATTATGTCAATACACTTACAGTATGTATTGAAAATGTAGCCTATGGCAATTAGGGAATAGGCCTTTTGGCACGGCGGCCTGCTGTGTGCTCAATGCGCTGCCCGACTCCAGCGTGCAGTCAAGCTCAAATATGCTAAACCATCGCTGGTGATGCCATCGTGGCGTTACAATCGACGATGCAATTGTAAAATCACCCAACCCTAGTGAGCTCAAACCATTGACTTTACAGACATTTGTGAGAAGAAATAAAAAAGTGGGCAGACCGAAGGGACTGACGTCAGACGAGTCCTGTGAAGCTTGTGGGCGTCGTATAGCAAAACAGGCAACATGTCTGTGTTCGTGAGAGTCTCTGTTTTTGATAGTGGAGTCCTAGCTCAAACCGTTCAGGCTTTACAGATGTTTTCGTGAACAGTCACTTTTTGGCATCCTCTCATGTCTGACAAACACCGCTTTTGGGATGCGCCAATCTACTATTCAGAAGCCTGACACCAGCGGATTCTATGGATTGAGACGAAGCCCATGCAAAAATCTGGAAGTTTCTAGCGTAAACACACAGGGTTTTATTTAATAAAACGTGATGACATCACCGATTTCCGCAAGGGCGCGGACATCGATCTTAGAGGGTTTTAAAGAGCGCCAGGTTGGTGAGTGACGACATGCAAGAGATCAGTCATTCATTAATTGCTATGATCATTGATCTCCTGAAGAAGCTATCCCTTTTCCTTTATTTGTTCCCCACAAATGTTTGGATATACTGGTAAAGTAACCAGGTTCTTAGCTAGCTAGCTACCTAATGAAGTAACATGATTGAACAAGGTGTAAACAAATGCCCACGGGTGGTTTTGGTACGACCCACGACATGGTAAATGAAAGTAAAATGCAGCCCGCAAACCGGTCATATTGTTTGAACTGTTCGGGCTAGAAACAAGCCATTATCTCTGTAGGAATGGTGCAGCCGTGACAGGTACGAATCTGCGCTCTTTTTTCTCTAGGGCACTTCGAAATAACGGTACAGCGAAGCCTAATCATTGCAACTATTATGTGGGAGATTTTTTTTCCTTTGCACTGGTGCTCCCAAAATAGAATGTCTGGTCGCACAGCAAAATATTTAGGAGCATATGTGAACAAAATGGTCTAACTTCCGAGCCCTGGTTGCAATAAATTCTTCTTTCAATTTCTTTGCAAGACCATCAATTATTGGCTTACAAAATATATTGATTCCACCTGTCAACAAGATCTATACCAATTTACTCAGTATCTAATACACATACAAACATCTGAACTGTTCTTACCAGGTCATCAATGAATAAAAGGTTATTTTACAACATACCCAGAGAACATGTTCTACTCTAGGACATCAAGGTTAACTGGCTGATAAGGAATGTTCTCACCCTACATCCTCAGACAAATGTCATACAGTGCCTTCAGAAAGTATTCATTCCACATTTTGTTGTTACAGCCTGAATTCAAAATTGATTCTCACCCATCTACAGACAATACCCCATAATGACAAAGTGAACATGTTTAGACATTTTTGCAAATGTATTGAAAATGAAATCTCATTTGCATAAGTATTCACACCCCTTTGTTATGGCACTCCAAATTAAGCTCAGGTGCATCCAATTTCCTTTGCTCATCCTTGAGATGTCACTACAACTTGATTGGAGTCCACCTGTGGGCAATACAATTGTTTGGGCATGATTTAGAAATAAAACACACCTGTCTATATAAGGTCCCACAGTTGACAGTGCATGTCAGAGATATACCATGAAGTCCAAGGAACTGTCCGTAGGTCTCCGAGAAACAATTGTGATGAGGCATGTATATGGGGAAGGGTATAAAACAATTTCTAAAGTGTTGAAAGTTTCCAAGAGCACAGCATCATTGGGAAATTGAAAAAAATATGGAACTACCCAAACTCTGGCCGTCTGACCAAACTGAGCGACCAGGCAAGAAGGACCTTGGTCAGGGAGGTGACCAAGAACCCAATGACCACTGACAGAACTACAGAGTTCCTTGGCTGAGATGGGAGAGCCTGCCAGAACGACAACAGTCTACAGCAGGGTTCTTCAATTCCGGTCCTGGAGGGCCGAAACACCTCTGTTTTTCATCCTCTCCTTCTAATCAGGGGCTAATTCAGACCTGGGACACCAGGTGAGTGCAATTAACTACCAGGTAGAAATAAAAAACAGAAGTGTTTCGGCCCTCCAGGACCGGAATTTAAGAATCCTGGTCTACAGCAATTCACCAATCTGGGCTTTATGGGAGACTGGCCAGACGGAAGCGCGACAGCACACCTGGAGTTCGCAAAAAGGCACGTGAAAGACAGAGCATAAGGTCTGATGAGACAACAATTGAACTCTTTGGCCTGAATGCAAAGCAGGCACAGCTCATCACCCGTCTAACACCATACCTACCGTGAAGCATGGTGGTGGCATGCTATGATGAGGAAAAATAATCTATTTCATAGATTTTTTTAAATTCAGGCTGTAACAACAACATGTGGAATAAATCAAGGGGTATGAATACTTTCTGAAAGCACTGTACAAGTACATGGTGGGGTGCTGAGTCAGCATTTACAAAACTAACTGTAGGACAACTTCTGAGATTCAATGGAGGACAGAAAGATTTAAGTATAAAATGTAAAATAATTTGGGAGTTGATAAGACCTCTATGTTTTAGGACCTTGTATGTTACAGGCTGTTTAAAGAAAGAGGAGGCCACTAGAGGGCTAGCCGATAGTAAATACATGGGTAAAATAATCATCTCCAGACAACAAAGATTTCTGATGCAAGGTCAACTGTAAGCTGACCCTAGCTCTGTGTTGTTACCTGGCATGAGGTTACGTACCTGGGGATGGTGACACACTTGGTGTTGCAGTTCTGGGTGGTGATGGCCTTCTCCAGCTCGTCCAGCTGTCCAGTCTTCTTCAGCTTCTTAACCAGGCTCTTGACAGCCTTCTCACACCACTTCTCCTCCTGGCCATTCTGCTCTCCACCCCCTGCTCCCCCAGGGCCGCTGGCTGACTTCTTCCACCCCAGAAGCCTCTTTACGACCGGAGGGGTGAAAGGCAAGATGGAGGACATTTTGGGTGAAGCGAGGAGGAGTCTTGAGAGAACTCAAACACACTCAGAGGCAGAGGGGACCTGGAGGAAGGGAGGCACAGTTTGGCCCTTTCTCTGGTGTGGTCCCTCTGTTTTGTGAGGAATCACAGGGCTGGCGTGAGGATGAGCTAGATATGTGCAGAAGAGATGACACCTGAGGAGGGGAAATCAAACAGGAATTCAGTAATGAATGTCTGAATAAAGAGATTGGTGTGAGACGTGACAGTGCATTCAATTGTGTGTGGGGTCCTTTTCAAAGTGAATGGGTGGTCTTGAAAAACTAGTTAAATCCCTTATCCACCATAGCCGATTAAACTCAACCCCACAATTTATGATGGAGTTGAGCAGCGACTAGTGTGGTTGAACTGGAACTCCGACGTTCTGTGTAATAGCGGGCTATTCTTTGGGTGCTGAAATGAAAAATATGCGACGTCGGAGCGCCAGTCTGCCCACACTAGTCGCCGCTCAACTCCATTGTAAATCCCCACGGGGAGTTGAGTTTAGGCAGCTAATCCCACCATCACATCCTTTTATCAGCAACAATTGCAGTTACATTAGCCAGCAGATCAGACCCGCCTACTTACAGCTGCACTAGGGTCGGACAGCATTCCTGTGTACATCGAGTATACAAAACATTAGGAACATCTTCATAATATTGAGTTGCACCCCCCAAAATGTATTTAATTGTAATTTGTCAATCTACTCAAAATACTTTGTCAAAGTGAAATGTTTTTTTATTAATAAAAATTAGATAACTAAAATAGTCGTTGCATACGTATTCAGCTCCTTTGTTCAGGCAAGACAAATTAGTTCAGGAGTAAAATGTGTCTTAACAAATCACACAAGTTATATGGACTGTGAAATAATAGGGGTTCCAGGGCTGACCCCATTTAGTCGACTGGTCGATTGTTTGGTCAATAGGCTGCTGGTCAACCAATATTATTTTTTTTTTTTTGTTGAGCAGTCGCAAAATACATTTTTTCTCTCTCAGTGGACTAATTCATTGAGGAGGCTGCGGGGATGCCACGGTCCAAGAAGAAGCGGAGTGTGGCTAAGATGCACAAGGCATTTCTCTCTCTATTGAATGTGCTCTTTCCCGCCATTTCGTGCGCATTCAGCATTTCATAACTTCATTGTGTGAATAGTTTGCCATTTGATTGTTAATGTCTATCAATTCCCCATTACACATATCAGCAGTAGCCTACATTTACCGTTAATTCCCATAATTTCTAATCTACAATGTTTGTTTGGTTACGATAATTTCTGTTAATGCATTCACACCGGTCTCAGTGGACTAATTCAATGCGGAGGCCGCGGGGATGGCATACCAGTATCAGCAGTAGTACATTTACCATTCTAATCTACAATGTTTGTTAAGGTCATTTCTGTTAATGCATTCAATATATTATTATTACGGTCATGTACCATTCCCATTGTCGGAGTGGACACACTGTTTGCAGAGCTCACAACCTATGCTACACTTTAACAACAGTTTGGGGAAGGCCCTTTCCTGTTTCAGCGTGCACAAAGCGAGGTCCATACAGAAAAGGTTTGTCGAGATCGGTGTGGAAGAACTTGGGGGGGGCAGTATGAAAAATGTATGCACTCACTAATTGGAAGTCGCTCTGGATAAGAGCGTCTGCTAAATGACTAAACTGTAAACTGTAGTGGAAAGCCTTCCCAGAAGAGTGGAGGCTGTTATAGCAGCAAAGGGAGGGACCAACTCCATATTAATGCCCATGACTTTGGAATGAGATGTTCGACGAGCAGGTTTCCACAAACTTTTGGCCATGTAGTGTATTACTATTATGATTTCAGACGTTCAATCCTTACAAAATAAGGAAGACTCAATATTCTCAAGTTTTTCCTCTATCTTCATTAGGAAGTTGTGTAATTGGCAGTTTGTTGAAAAAGTGTAGATGTTTGTATAAGATACCCATTTTCAAAATTTTTCTTGACTTTTGTATGTCATATCATTTGAAAGGGCTGTTTCTCAGCTTTCAAAATATGTATCATGTTTTCATATGTTGTTTGACATTAGCAAATTATGCTCATTAATGCACGCAGAGTTTATGGTCTTTCAGCCATTTTTGGGAAATCTTGCGAGTGATGCAACAATGGCGATTTACAGTTAGCTGGTGTTCTAAAGCCTTGTGTTTCCATTCCCCTTTAATATACACAGGAATGCTGTCCAACTCTAGTGCAGCTATCAGCAAGCGGGTCGGATCTGCTGGCTACAGCAACAAGTTAACATCATAGCTACCATTGTTTGCGAATATACACATGTACAAAAATAATATTTAAATACTAGCAGTACGGGTGGATGCTGTATAACACCACATCTTAATTTACCGGGTGGTTAGCTAGCTTCCGTGATAAATTGTTCAATTGATAAACTCCTATGCTGGTTAGATTATATATTGTAGCTACAAGTAGTAGAAAGCTAGCTATCTCGGCTAAGGCCGGGGCTAGCTAGTTATCCGGCCCATAGCTAACGTTAGCTAGTTAATACTTCCAGGCCGGTTGGTTGATGATGGCCATTTTATCAGCAGTAAATCTACTAACGTTAACTATATAGCTAGTCAAATTAGATAGTCATATTAACAATTGATTACTCATAAGGTAGCTATAAAAAGCGAAGGAAAGTATTGAGTACATAACGTGTATGGTTGGAGTACATTATCGCCAATTCCTTTTGTTGTGCCACTCTAGCTAACGTTAGCTAACTCAAGCTTATTCAATGCAGCTAACGTTCGCTAAATGACTAGCTAGCTAGTTCGCTAATGTATGCTATAATGAAACAATGATTTGCTGGAGACATGATACACCACCATCATCATCATTGCCAGTTAGAATAACAATCACATGTTATGTTAACACTTGAAGTGATAAATAACAGCTAGCCAAAATAAAACCTAGCAGCTAACATCACAAAAGTCGAGGGAAAATGAAAAGCATTGCATTACCCCCTGATGATGAGAATCACGAACTCTTCGCTGTGTAACGATATATGCAGTAAACAAAGGGGGAAACCTTTCTTTTAAAACCAACTATAAATGTAGTTGCTATCTCGACGAGAAGATTGCTGCCTTTTCTCAAGTCTGATAACTAGCTAGCCGCTTAGCTTCACAAGTTAGCTAGACCTGAACAAGAAAGACACCCTAGCAAGCTAGCTGCATTCAGAATCTTAATCCCTCCTCTTATCACCTGATTGGATCAAACAAGCCAATCATATTATTTTCCTATATCGGATTGGTCTACAGCAATGTCAATCTTTTTTGTTTATTTGACAGCATGGTTTATTTTCCGAATCTGTCGTTGACATTGTCAGAGTGAGGAACTAGACAGCGATCCATAATTTTTTTAAATAAATTGTCAGAGTGAGGAACTAGATAGCGATCCATTAATTTTTTATAAATTGTTATAACTGCTAAACCTTTCTCATATTCCATAAAAACTAGAGATGAGGAAAGAAATATTGCATGTAGCGGCATACCCTAATTTGAAATGATGCACAATTGGTTCCACAAAGATAAGATTTCATGCGGAAAAAATCCAGGCAAAGGCTACTTTAGATAACAGGTTGATGAGACAACTTTATATGACGTTTCTGTTTCAAAGTAGTAGTAACCGCGGTTGGTGTATCTCTCATTCCTCCTTTGAAATCAGTGATCTAACACATCTGAGAAGCAGGTTTCAAAGCTCTTCCTAAATCAAATCAAATGTTATTGGTCGCATAGGCCAACACATATTTTGCAGATGTTATCGCAGGTGCATCAATGCTTCTGTTTCTAGCTCCAACAACGCAGCATACCTACAATACAAAGCATTACACACAAATCTCAAAAATAAAAATAAACAACTTAAGAAATATCAGAACGAGCAATGTCAGAGTCCGGAATATAATATATATATATATATATATATATATATATATATATATATATATATATATATGTATATATGTATATAATGGTGTGTATAGACAGTATGGACAGTATATAAATAGGAAAGGTGTGTACAGCAGTAGTTATATAGGATATACATATGAAGTGGGTAACAGTATGTAACATTATTAAAGTGACCAGTGTTCAATGACTATGTACATAGGGCAGCAGTCTAAGGTGCAGGGTAGAGTAACAGGTGGTAGCCGGCTAGTAACAGTGACTAAGTTCAGGGCAGCATACTGGGCAGAGGGGCTTGTGGTGACTATTTAACAGTCTGATGGCCTGGAGATAGAAGCTGTTTTTCAGTCTCTCAGTCCCAGCTTTGTTGCACATCTTTTCTTTTGTCTGTAATGTATTTTTCGTTATGTGTCGGACCGCAGTAAGACTAGCTGTCGCAATTGACGTCGGCTAATGAGGATCCTAATAAATAACATCAATCCTTATTAATTCATACAGCATATACCGCCACTACACTACTTTGATATGTATCGTGGTGATTAAGATGTGAGTATATGCAAGGCTTACTGAAAAATAAGTGAGTATACCTGCATATACCCTCCACTACACCACTGACTGTGCCCCTGGAGAAGCTTTGGGCTGACCGCAACACCCTCTGGCGGTGATACAGCCCGACAGGATGCTCTCAATTGTGCATTTGTAGAAGTTTGTGAGGGTCTTTTTCACCACACTGTCTGTACGGATGTACAATTTCAGGTTATCAGTGATGTGCACGCCAAGGAACTTGAGGCTTTTCAGCCTCTCCACTGCGGCCCGTCGATGTGGATAGGGGTGTGCTCTCTCTGCTGCCTCCTGAAGTCCACGATCAGCTCCTTAGTTTTGTTGACGTTGAGGGAGAGGTTATTTTCCTGGCACCACTCCGCCAGGGCCCTCTCCTCCCTGTAGGCTGTCTCTTCATTATTGGTAATCAGGCCTACCACTGTTGTTCGTCAGCAAACTTGATGATTGAGTTGGAGACGTGTGTGGCCACGCAGTCATGGGTGAACAGGGAGTATAGGAGGGGGCTGAGCATGCTAGTACAGTATATGTCCGTGACCACATCAAGGAAGGGATGAAATAAGCAATTAAACAAGTATTCAATCAGGGCTACGGATTCACCACCATGGTTGCATCTTAATAGTCTAAGTGGCTTCCTTTCCTAATTTCCTTCCATTCATCTGCATGGATGTGGAAAACCAGGATGGGCGGAAGCAGAATTTCAGGTAGTGATAGGCAGGAGAAGAGACTGGGGCTATGTTCGAGAACATCAAAACCGTGATGTTTCATGGGTAAATTTAGACTGACTGACTGACTGATCAACACATAATATTGAGTAGTTATTTAGGATGTAAGGTGATTTGTAGATCAGTCAGTCTCGAGTCACCTTTAAAGTCAGCTGCAATGTCGAAATAATTGCCTTTAAAGTAGGCAAGCCCTGGGCTTGGCGCGTTCGACATTGCAGCCGACAGTGCAGGCAACTACCGACTGACTGATCTACAAAGAACCTTGCATCATAACTAACTACTTATTATTATTTTCTAGATCAGTCAGTCACAATTTATCCATGATACATTATGGTTTTGATCCTCTCAAACACTGCCAAGGAGAGGAAGCCACTGTAGACTACTGGGTCACAGGGAGAATCTCAATTGCATTTCCTTGATTCCTCCTCGCGTTCTCTCTTCTCACCTCCTTTTCAAAACGCATTAGAAGGAGGCGAGGAGAGAGAATGCAAGGAATCAAGGAAATGCAATTGAGATTCTCCCACACTCCACAAGTTGTCCTCATAGGCCGTGTTCGAGAGGCTCAAAACCGCAATGTGTCATTGGTAAATTGTGACTGACTGACTGATCTACAAATAATAATGAGTCATTATTTATGATGCATGGTGATTTGTAGATCGTCCGTTGAACACAGACATTGTAATCTTGGTTACCTAGAAGTAAAATCTAAGCGAAAGTTTGTCATTTGTCCACGTGAGATTAGCCTCATAGAGCTCCTCCCCCGTCACTGATTGGTTCAATGTTCAATTAGTATCACCTGGCATCATTATAAAAAATCCTTGACCTGAGCACTTGCATTATTTGGTGAACTTGCATTCATCAGGCATGGCTGTCTGTTTGCTTGTGTGTATAGCAATTTTGGAAATCACAGGTGAGATTCCAGGTGAGTAATGGGGCAGTCATGTGCTTGTGGGACGTCATTAATCTGTCAAGGTTGTGTTGAAGTGTTTTTGAGGTTGGACTAATTCTGCAACCAGTAAGAATTTAGCTAGCTTGATAAGCTAGCTAATGTTGCTAAAAGTAAAGTTGGCTGGCTTACTTAACATTGACAATATGGGTGAACTAACTACATTATCCACACTGTTTGTAACTGTCAATAGATTTGTCATCTTTGGTTGAAGAGGTGAAAGGTCAGTACCCAACTTGGGTAAAAAAAAAGAAATCTGTTTCCAACTTATAATTATGACTTGGACAGTCATTCAAGTGAAACTTCCCAGTTGGCACTCCGAACTTCTGATAACTCCGACAGCATGTGAACGCCCAATAGTTGTACCAAAACTGTTGTGACTAGACCGCCCTCTTTATCCACGTTGTTCACAGAAATGATTCTTTAATTCCCTCAATTCATTGTTCAGACATCTCATATATTTAGACAGAATTAACAATTTGTTGTTCCCTACTTCTTCCATATAGTTTTGAGTGCAGCTGCGCAGACTCCATTGAAATGCAACCTGGGCACCAAACCTTGCAAGGATGGATCGGAGTGTATTCTCTACCAGCATGTGTGTGACGGAGAAGTTGACTGTAGGGATGGCTCTGATGAGGAGGACTGCACTGTCACATGCAATAAAGGTTTCCACTCCACTTCCATTGCCTTCACCAATCTTGTCTTAGATAAGTGATTTCCTCAAGGGAGGAAGGATGGATTTAAGTATTCAAACAGTGCCTAAGTAGTGTTTCATCCATTCATGTAGGCCAGTTTATGTGTGCCCATGGGAAGAAGTGCATTGACCAGAAGCAGGTGTGTGATGGGGTGGCCCAGTGTCAGGACCGCTCTGATGAGATGGACTGCCTGAAGTCCATGGAGGGCTGTGCTCACCACTGTGACAACAAGACCCGCTGCCTCCCTGACACCTTCCTCTGTGATGGAGAGGGAGACTGCCTGGATGGCACTGATGAGGCCGACTGTGGTAATGCCCCCCTCGGTGGCACACTTGCCTCTTGAGTTTTGTTAAACCATGGTCCTTATCTTTCAACTTCTGTAAACATAAATGTCGATTTATTGCCTCTTGTCCTTTTGATACTAAAGTCAGTTTCACCATCTCCCCAGATTCAGACTCCAATGATCATAAAAATCATCACGATGTTGCTGATGGTGGCAACTACAAAGGGAAAACCACCTCCATGTCTGCACCAGCACCCATCAAGTGTCCTTTTGGCACTAAACCATGCCAGGACAAGATTGAGTGTGTTCTTTACAGCCATGTGTGTGATGGAGAGGCAGACTGTAACGATGGCTCAGATGAAGAAGCATGTTCATTAGAATGTGAAAGTGGTAAGCAAATCAGTGGCTAATTAAAAAAATATAGATATAAATTATGAACAGTAGTTTGACATTTTGAAAAGCAAATTCTTCCCTCTGGTTTTATCGTACTGGACATCATGACAACACTGCTCTCTAGTGCAGTGGTTCCCAACCGGGGGTATTTGGCCTATCCACAGGGGGTACTTGAAGACTCATTAGACCATAGGCCTACTGGTAAAATGCACAAGTGTAATACATGCTTACTGTTGAACTAGCTAGCATACTGGCATTCACTCAAATACCAATTGAACATACACACAGAACATAGTGGCTTAGACCACTGCATGGTGTGCATGTTTAGAGTTCCATCTTTGAAAAATTCCTCACTGGTCACCATTTTAGTGTTATTGACTGCTCTTAAACTGGACTGTATGTTCAGACCAGTTTCAGTGTGCCCATGGGAAGAAATGCATTGACCAGAGGCAGGTGTGTGATGGGATGGCCCAGTGTCAGGACCGCTCTGATGAGATGGACTGCCTGAAGTCCATGGAGGGCTGTGCTCACCGCTGTGACAAGACCCGCTGCCTCCCTGACACCTTCCTCTGTGATGGAGAGAGGGACTGCCTGGACGGCACCGACGAGGCCGACTGTGGTAATGCCCCCCTCACTGTCACATTGCCTGTAGATGAGTTTTGATAAACAATGGTCTTTACTTATGTTTACAGACGTTGAAAGATGTAAGACATGTCGATTTTTATTGCCTCTTGTCCTTTGCTACTAAAGTCAGTATTTTTCACCCTTTCCTTAGATTCAGAATCCACTGATGATCATAAAAATCATCACTATTTTGTTGAAGATGTTTATGATGGCAACAACGAAGGGAATGCCACCTCCATGTCTGCACCAGCACCCCTCAAGTGTACTTTTGGCACTAAACCATGCCAGAACAATATTGAGTGTGTTCTTTACAGTCATGTGTGTGATGGAGAGGCAGACTGTAAAGATGGCTCCGATGAAGAAGAGTGTTCCTTAGAATGTGAAAGTGGTAAGAATCAGTGATCTAAAAAAAAAAAAACACGAACAGTAGTTTGACATTTTGAAAAGCATATTCCTCCCCCTGCTTTTATTGTACTGATCATGACAGTACTGCTCTCCAGTGTAATACATGGTTACTGTAACAACCTTTTGAACTAGCTGGCATACTGGACTTCAGTCAAATATCCATTGACTATATACACATAGAACACAGTTGCTTAGACCACTGCATGTTAGAGTTCCGTCTTTGCAATATTCCTCAGGTCACCATTTCAGTGTTATTGACTGCCCTTAAACTGTACTGTATGTTCAGGCCAGTTTCAGTGTGCCCATGGGAAGAAATGCATTGACCAGAGGCAGGTGTGTGATGGGGTGGCCCAGTGTCAGGACCGCTCTGATGAGATGGACTGCCTGAAGCCCATGGATGGCTGTGCTCACCACTGTGACGACAAGACCCGCTGCCTCCCTGACACCTTCCTCTGTGATGGAGAGAGGGACTGCCTGGATGGCACAGACGAGGCCAACTGCGGTAAGTTTCACTTCCAAGGAACCACTAAACAACTGAGCAGAACTGGGGCCATTTTGGAACTGTCCCAACTACTTGCTTTTTAAAGGAAGATCAATTTTAAGAAATTGCCAATTGGTCCTCTTGACCCATAGCTGATGAGAGCTGCAGCAGTGTGGAGTTCCGTTGCACCAGTGGTCAGTGTGTATCTGTAAGCATGCGCTGCGATGGGCATCCTGACTGTCGGGATCACTCTGATGAGGAGAGCTGCACCAAGCCCCCCCAGTGCACCACCAAGCTCCGCTGCCCACACAGCCAGGAGTGTCTGCTGGAGGAGTGGGTCTGTGATGGGGAGCAGGACTGTAAAGATGGCTCTGATGAAAAGGTGGGAATATTTGGCCTGGGTGCAAGTCTGTTTCTGCTCTCTTGCCAACTCCTTGTTTGGCATGACTATTCCATAAGGAGTTGGTAAGTGGGCAGAAACTCATTGACAAGCAGGCTAGGTAATATTAGAGATTTGGAGGATGTAGATGTGACTTGTTTTCTTTAATGGTTCCAGCCTTATTCATTAGACTCCTAATTGACTTTGAATGACGTAGGATAGCCTCACACCACCTGATCTCGTGAGCTTACATGGCTGTTCGCTACAAGAGAGCGCAGCGGTAATTACGAGGCTTGTAGCTAATGTGCTTTTACCTCATGTGATGTAAATCAAAACTAGGCTATAATACACAGTATATTGAATTATTTCAGAATTGCAAGATGGTCCAATTGAAGTGTGGGGCGTTCCAGTGGGCCTGTACATCGAAGACCCAATGTGTTCCCGAAGCATGGAGATGTGATGGAACAAAGGACTGTGCTGACGAAAGTGATGAGGCAGGATGTGCGTAACTAGACAAACTTATTCCAACTATGTATGATCAGTTATGTTGAAACTGAATCTGTAATGGTAAATGAATAAGCCTTTCACTTATTGACCATTATTAAACATCTACTTTAACTTGGGTATTTGTGTTAATAGGTGGTCAGGTGGAAACATGCCCCTCTCACCAGTTCCAATGTGGTAGTAAATGGGAGTGTTTGGACACAGCCCTGGTGTGTGACTTGGTCAGAAACTGTGCTGATGGTTCTGATGAGGGTGGTGACTGCCAAACCAAGTGTCCAGACAAAGCCCAATGTGCCCAAAACTGTTACAGTTCACCACAGGGAATGGTGAGTAATGGGGAAAAGCTCTTAAGTAAAGAAAATAATAATCTGGCTGTCATGTGTTAGATTTCTCTGCTTCTCACTGAGTTTGACCCCCTCTACCGATTTCTGTTTCTCTCCCATATAGAGGTGTGGGTGTAAGGCTGGTTACCGGCTCGACGAGGATGCGGTGTCGTGTGTAGATATTGATGAGTGTGAAGGTGGTAGACCAGGTGTTTGCAGCCACTCATGTGTCAACACACAGGGCTCCTTCCAATGTCACTGCAACCCTGCTTACCTGCTGGAATCCGATGGCCGCCGCTGCAAGATCACGGGTAAAATATCAAGGTTCCCTCTGCTTGACGGTATTAATTTTAATTGAGGAATGTGCACGACGGTGAACCGACTTTGTGAATGCAGGCTATGTTGGCTGGAGAAAGTACTCGTATACATCAGGCACAGTAGGTCTATACCAACCCACTTTGTTTCCCCACAGGTGAGCCCTATCTTCTGGCCTCTGTGCAGACGGAGCTGTTCCTGTTTGGGCTGAGAAGCAGTAGTCTGGATGTCCTGGTGTCCTCTGCTAAGAAAGCCATCCTGTCTGTGGACTATGACTGGAGGGATCAGAGGGTGTTCTGGGTCAGCCTGGATTCAGAGAGCATCAAGTGGTCCTCTCTAGACCAAAAAAAACGAGGAACTCTTTTTAAAGGTTATTATTATGGTTAAACTGAGGTTAACAATGTGTAACGCTGTGGGTGAGAGACTGTAAAAATGGCACCATTTATGAAAACAGGTTCAAGTTACTTGGTTTAACAAATGAAAAATGTTAATCTCCACAGGCATCAAATCTGACTGCATTGCTGTTGACTGGGTAGGGAGAAACCTGTACTGGATTGATGGCATTGGAGGTGGTCGGATTATTGCTATCGGATTAAACTCTACCATTACAAGCGCTCTGGATCACACTGTCATCCTCGACGAGGACTTTGAACAACCTCTCTCTCTGGCACTCTTGCCACAGAAGGGGCAAGTTTTTAATTTATTTTCTAGTTGTGACTGAACAGCACCCACCCAAACAAGCTGTTACTCTAGTTCTTTTGTATACATTTGGAGGAAGGTGACGACTAAACAATCTGCTCAGGGACTTATTGAATTGGTTTCCACCTAACCACTGTCCTATGGCAGGATAATGTTCTTTAATGCTTTATGTATGGTGTTTTCAGAAGACTTTTCAGTAATCAACAATAAAATAACATTGATTTGGATTTAATTGCAGGATCATGTTCTGGTCGGAGATTGGTAACGAGGCAAAGATTGAGCGGGCGGGAATGGATGGGTCTGAGAGGCGAGTGGTAGTCAGTCACAGCCTCAGCTGGCCAGGCAGTCTGGCTGTGGACACACTAGGGGAGCGGCTCTACTGGACAGACGAGAAGCTTGGGTGCATCGGCTCAGCCACCCTGGATGGAGGGGACGTCAAGGTACTACAGAAATGGATGGGTGTTTTGCGTAGGACTAGATCAGACTTGTAGTGTTGTACGCTTTAAATTAAATACCCTATAAAGCCATATTTCAATGTCTAATCTGTCCCTTTCCGTCCTGAAGCTTCTGCAGATGATGGAAACCACCAACCCTTTCGCTGTCACAGTTTTCAATGACATGCTCTACTGGTCAGACACCAAGAGGAGAACTATTCAAGCGGCTCATAAAATCACTGGAAAGAACTGTCAAGTTCTACTCAAACGACCTGGACAACCTTTTGGACTCAAAGCAAGTATTTTTCCCCAATTTCAATACATAATGCACATTATGCATACCATTTTGTTCATTTCACTTAAATAAGATGGCGAAATCTCATGGGTTTGCTGTAATTGCATAAAGAACTTGTTGTATTTTTGGGAATGTGCGCTTAATGATTTGTATGTCTATCTGGGCTGCAGATCATTCATCCACTGCTGCAAACGAGCACTGCGAGTCCCTGTGAGAAACTTCGTTGCTCTCACCTGTGTGTGTTGGCCCCCGGCCCCAAAGGGATCTGTAAGTGTCCCTCTGGTCTGCTCCTAGCGGTCGATGGCCTCACCTGCTCCAACCTGGTCAACTCTGCCTTCCTCTTGGTGCTATCGCCAACTGTTGTCACACAGGTAGGACTCAAGTTTACCCATTTCACACTGCACTATATTCAATGCTACACGTTAATGACTCGAAGTCCCTGTCCTCTCAAACAAAAAGCTCTTAGGAATGCTTGGTAATGTCACATAAGCTCTCAGTAATAACCTGTGCTTTGCGTCTGTGGAAGCCCAATTGGCTTTGTGTGCAGTTGAGGAATAAACACCAAAAGCTTCGCCACATGTACTTGGACATTTATTTTGTCTCTAGATCTACCTGCAGACCATGCACAGTGCTGTGGGCCTGAAGACCTGGCCTGAGCACCTCTCCCTACCTCTCCCCAATGTCAATGAGGCGGCCATGTTGGATTACACCCTGCGAGACCAGACCCTGTACCTGGCTGACTCCGGACAGTCTGTAGGCCTCTTCAAGCTGAAGGAGACCGGCTTGGTGCCTCTGCGCCAGTTCCTGCAACTAAAAGGGGACACTGTCACAGCCCTGGCTCTAGACTGGATAACCCTCAGTGTATACTGGAGTAGCACCAAACAGCCACGCCTGCAGGTCACCTCTTCCAGTGGGGAACACACTGCTGTGTTAATTCAGGATATGGGAAGTCTGGAGTCTATAGCGCTTCACCCACTCAGTGGAAGACTCTGTTTTACCAACCTGGCCAAGCAGGGGGAAGGCGCTCATGTGGAGTGTGCTCACATGGACGGGGAGAAGCGAGCTCAGGTGTGGAAGGATGCTGTGCAGCCCACCTCCCTGACTTTCTCGAATAAAGGCGGTGAGATTTACTGGGCTGACATCGGTGAGGAACCATTGTTCTACAATACAAACCTTCAATTTAAATCGCTCTATAGAAGTGGTGATGGAATACTTTATTTTTGTTAATGTTTATCAACAAGTGTTCCATTTTCTGTTATGTTCCAGGTGCTGGGGTGATCGGCTCTGTCAGAGTGGACGGTTCTGGATATAATGAGTTTACAACTGGGGATGGCCTGACTGCAATTGCGCTCAGCAACAGCATGCTCCTCTGGGTGACAGACCGTGGTAATGTACATTTTTCTTTCTAAACACAGCTGCCAGTACTCAGTGCCACATCTTACTGTAGCCAGAAGATGGCTCTCTTTAGTCATTAAAGTAGAACTAACAAGGATAATGGTTGATCTCGAACTCTGTTCTTTCACCATGGTTTTGGATTATCATTGATGTTGATCATAACAAATGTTTCAGATACAACCCAAGTTTGGTATAGAGATGACCAACTGACCAAAACTCTTTGGTTTGAGGTCAACACTGAAGTTGTCAGTTTGAAGGCCTACAGCAAGTCCAGCCAGATGGGTAAGAAAGGCCACATTTGCAGACGTGACCCCACACTACTCGATTTACTGAGGCCTTACTTTTCAAACTTCTTTACTCTTCCTCATACACATCCATTTCCAGGCTTGAACTTCTGCTCAGATGGGAATGGAGACTGCAGTCACTTGTGTCTGGCTGTTCCTGGTGGTAGGACCTGTAGGTGTGCCCATGACCATCAGCCAGTCAATGCCACACACTGTGCCCCAGACCAGCACTGCCCAGCTGGTAATAGACCATGTCTGGATGGGCATACATGCCTCCCCCTGGAGAAGTTCTGTGACGGTCGTCCTGATTGCCTTGACACCTCGGATGAGAACTGTGAGTCTTTTCTATTAGCAATGCCTGAAATTTAACAATCTTAGCTATAACTCAGCATTTCTCACACCTGCTCCTGGAGGATCCCTAGCACTACACACCTGAAGTGATCAACTCCTCAAGCTTTGATTATTTAAATCAGTTGTGTAGTGTTAAGGCAAAAATAAATGTGCAGCTCTTGTGGTTCCCAGGACCAGGATTCACTGTCATAACTTAACTTCAATTGAATACACAACTAGTCTGATTCTCCCATGTCTCAGGTGTCCATCTCAAAGGGCAGTCTGAAGTCCAGTCCAAAGCTCCAACCCTGCCTCCCAGCCCCAGCGGATCTGCAGATCCTGGCTCTACCACCACTTCTCTGGACAACAGTTGGCTAGTGAGAGATCTGAATGTCCAGCAGCAGTGTAGCGAAAAGCACTGTAATGGGAATGGGGAGTGTGTGGAGAGGAATGGGGGCACCTCCTGTGCCTGTGGTCTAGGCTACAGTGGAGACTCCTGCCAAGACCAGCTCACCAAGACCATGCAAGGCCCACTAATCTATGGGGTCGTTGGTCTCTGTGCTGGGATTGTAGTTATCAGTGTCCTCGTTGCCGTGGTCAAGAGGAAGACTGCAAACGCAAGGTACTCATACCAAACTGCTTGATACTGTAGGTCTTCCCTGAAATGTCTCTACCATTCAGTTGAACGTAGCATCTATTATTAGATGTATTGTGATTAGAATGCTTTCTAATGTGTAGCTGTTTGTCAAGAGATTGAGACTATTCACCTTTTCCATTCCCAGGCAAGCCAGCGCTGTGGTGAAGCAGACCAGTATGACTGACCTGGAGAAACATGAATCTCCCTCTACACAACCTTCACCTGAAGACACTAACTTTTCAGAGGTACAGTAGGCTGTTTTTATATTTAAAGCAATTGTAAACTTCATAAGTTTTGCCTAATACAATTTTGTTTTATTTCACAGGAAGTGGCGTCATCTGTGGATTAACTAATCAATGTTATTTATATTCAATAAAGGATGTTGCATTTTCTATGGTCTTGTTTTCATTATACACAATTCCAATTTTCATCCAATGGGATTGCGTTCTTTGAGTATGAAAGTGGATTTGACAGATGTGTATCACACTTGGTTTCAGACCTTTAGGCAATGAGAAACCAATAACACTCGCATTTGCTTTTGAACAGTATTTAAATTACAAGGCAAGGGCTTTCACTGTAATGATGCATTTGATATGTAGCCCTTTATACTCGTACCCACTTACAGGTTGAAAATGTCAAATTTGGGCACTGTTAAGTGCCTAAATTGGACCGCCGTGGCTGTACAGTGACATGCTATAAATGACGTCAGAGCTCCAGCTCTGTGCTTCACAGCGCAGTATTGGTTTTGACTGACAGCTGTTCTGAACTTGGGGCAACTTGTCACGTACGGTGCTCATCACTCCTGCTAATTGGGCAACTTTTGCATAAGGGAAATGCTGTGAATTTTACATTTACATCATTTAGCAGACGCTCTTATCCTGAGCGACTTACAAATTGGTGCATTCACCTTATAGCCAGTGGGATAACCACTTTAATGTTTTTTTCATTCTTTGGGGGGGTAGAATGATTACTTTATCCTATCCCAGGTATACATTAGAGGTGGGGTTTCAAGTGTCTCCGGAAGGTGGTGAGTGACTCCGCTGTCCTGGCGTCGTGAGGGGGCTTGTTCCACCATTGGGGTGCCAGAGCAGCAGTTTTGACTGGTACGGAGGTGCCGTTCCCCTCACAGCTCCGTAGGCAAGCACCATGGTCTTGTAGCAGATGCGAGCTTCAACTGGAAGCCAGTGGAGTGTGCGGGGTGACGTGAGAGAACTTGAAGGTTGAACACCAGACGGGCTGCGGCATTCTGGATGAGTTGTAGGGGTTTAATGGCACAGGCAGGGAGCCCAGCCAACAGCGAGTTGCAGTAATCCAGACGGGAGATGACAAGTGCCTGGATTAGGACCTGTGCCGCTTCCTGTGTAAGGCAGGGTTGTACTCTCTGACTGTTGTAGCGCATGAACCTACAGGATCGGGTCACCGCCTTGACGTTAGCGGAGAACGACAGGGTGTTGGTCACGCCAAGGCTCTTCGCACTCTGGGAGGAGGACACAACAGTTGTCAACCGTGATGGCGAGATCATGGAACGGGCAGTCCTTCCCCGGGAGGAAGAGCAGCTCCGTCTTGCCGAGGTTCAGCTTGAGGTGGTGATCCGTCATCCACACTGATATGTCTGCCAGAGATGCGATTCGCCACCTGGTTATCAGAAGGGGGGGAAAGGAGAAGATTAGTTGTGTCTGCGTAGCAATGATAGGAGAGACCATGTGAGGATATGACAGAGCCAAGTGACTTGGTGTATAGCGAGAATAGGAGAGGGCTTAGAACTGAGCCCTGGGGGACACCAGTGGTGAGAACACGTGGTGCGGAGAAAGATTCTCGCCTCGCCACTTGGTAGGAGCGACCGGTCTAGAAGGACGAGCAGAGGACTTCATGTATTTCGAAACATGAGACTAAGGTTTTACAGGTCAGATGAGAATCGGTCAATTGAAATAAATTCATTAGGCCCTAATCTATGGATTTCACATGACTAGGAATACAGATATGTATCTGTTAGTCACGTACCATAGAAATGGGCTCACAATGGTTCTCAGGTGCTCATCACAGTATTATTGTGCATTCAAATTGCTATTGATTAAATGCAAGTGTGTTGTCCACAGCTTATACCTACCCATACATAACCCCACCTTCCCCAAGTGGCACGCTGTTCACAACGTTTACATCAGCAAACTGCTCACCCACACGACGCCATACACATGGTCTGCAGTTGTGAGGCAGATTGGATATACTGCCATTCTCTAACATGATGTTGGAGGCGGCTTATGATAAAGAAATAACCAGCGCTGGTAAACATTCCTGCAGTCAGCATGCCAATTACACACTCCCTCAACTTGACATCTGTGGCATTGTTTTGTGACAAAGGGGCACCTGTTTAATCAGCTTAATATGCCACACCTGTCAGGTGGATGGATTGTCTTGGAAAATGAGAAAATGCTCACTAACAGGGATGTAAATAAATTTGTGCGCACGGACATTTCTGGGATCTTTTTCAGCTCATGAAACATGGGACCAACACTTCACGTTGCGTTTTATATTTTTGTTCAGTGTGTGTATATACATTTTTGCGCATAAAGGCGTTTCCACCGCCATTTACAGACAGATCTCACCATATCAAATGAACAAATTCTGTTGGCATTTATAAAACTACTGAAACTTCCTGTTTCCATCAGCTGTCATTTTTTTTAAATATACGGTATGACTTTACTCGCATAAACTGGATGGAAATGTGGTTATAGTTGAAGTCGTCAATGTGCATTGAAATTAACTGTGCACTTTGGAGCGGTGTGGCGACACTTTGAGACACTAGCTAGTCCTCTCAAACCCTTGTCAATTTTTTTGTCTTATGTTGTGCCTACCCCCCATTTTCCAGGAATATTCGTATGTTACTGAACGTATCCAGAGTATTTTAAGATTTTGTTAAATGCGGCAAAGTACAGTAAATGAAATGTACAGAATCAAGTGTAATTTTTGGATTGTCTTGGCAGGTGAACTGTTGTCCTCACCTTTTGGTCTAATTATTTCCCCATAATCAAGTGTTCTTTCAATTGCTACCATAGTTGTGCATATGCTTCTTATAGTTGACTTATAGTAGTCAATTTAGCCCTATCACGTGAGTGTAAAGGGTTAAGCTACATATCAAGCAGTCAAATGGGATTTTCCTGTGTTTTATATACTGTATATTTCCACACAGAGGTTGGAATAATACTGTAAGAGCTGTTTGAAACGACCCCCTGAAATTTCAGCTTGGTTGGCTGGGTGGGGTTTTTGGACCGCCTGTTGACATCACTAGGCGGTATAAGTTAATAGACCAATAAGACTTTTCCCTCCTCTCAGCCAATAACGGCTCGTTTTCTGGTTACACATACCTCCCATTAGGTCCCTCTCTCAGACCACTCCCAGACAGTCCTAGAAATGATTTGATATTGAAATAAAAACAGCTGCATTGGATCTTTTTTAAAGGGGAGTTTAAAGAGGGAGACGTCCTAGTTTATTTGAATTTATTGAACCTTATTTATCCAGGTGAGACAATTAAGAACAAATGTCTTATTTACAATGACGGCCTGGCCAGTGACGATAGAGGTGCGGTGCAAAAAAACGAACATTGACAAGACAGACATCACAACACAGAAGGACAGGGACATATGACAAACACAAAAGTCAATACAGAACAGTTACAGCACCAAGAGAACAGATATCACAACACGGTGGGACAGAAACATATGGCAACACAACATTTAGTAAAAACAGTCAGCATAGATAGTACAGTCACCTATACATTTGATAGAATATCAGGTACAGTATAAAAGAAAGTAAAGCGTCCATGGGAATGCCCATAATTTACATGTTATTTGTTAGAATAACAAGTTTGTGTCAGTGAGACTGCCCATGAATGACATTAGATAGGTTACAAGTACAGGTGTCCGTGATTGAGTTCTTAAAGGCTCAGGGAGGGCAAACCACCAAGTTTGAGTTTATTACTTGCTAATGTACAATCTCTGTACAATAAGGTAGACGAGCTCAGGGCGAGGATCTCTTTTCAGAGGGACGTAAGGAAATGCGACAGTCTGTTATACAGAAATGTGGCTCTCTTCCTCAATTTGTCTATCCATCCAACCCACCAGGTTCTCCATCCATTGCGCGGGTAGGAAGAAAGAACTCTCCAGGAAAAATAAAGGCTGAGGGGTATGTTTCATTATTAATAACTCATGGTGTGATTGTCGCAACATACAGGAACTCAAGTCCTTTTCTCCCAATCTGGAATACTTCACCATCAAAAGCCGACCCCATTACCTTCGGAGATAATTTTTGTCCGTTATTGTTACAGCCGTGCAGAGGTGGGACCGAGTCCCAAGTAGAACGGTTTGAGTCTCGACTCAAGTCGTGCGTTCTAAGAGCAAGTCAAGTCCATTCACAAGTTGTCAAGTCTCAAGTAAAGTAAAAAATAAAATACAAAAAATCGAGACATGCAATGACTTGTTCAACTACAAATATTTGTCTATTTATTGAGGCAACCAGACAGGTCTTTTCAATATTTTGTCTACAACACACTTTGATTATATAAAATAGGGACCTTGAAGAAGTCGTAAGGGCATGAAATCAGTAGAAGGCAAGGCAGGTTGACATGCTCAGTGTACATTCTAAAAAGAAAAAGGTTTCTGGAGGCACCTTCAGGGGTTCCTCTGATTGCAACACCGGCGGAACCCCTTACGGTGCTTCCAGGAACCTTTTCCCTGACCTCAAATCACCTTTTAGGGTGTTAAGGTTCCTGTAGGAACCTTTTGTCCCATGTATTATATTATGAATAATAACAATAAAAAGAATAATACAAATAACATTGAGTGGCAAACTTATAAAGTCACAAATTCATTTTATTGACTTTAAAAGTCACAGAAATCTCACTTGCAGACATCACAGAAATCTATGGTCTCCCTTATCCCTCTACAGCAAAATGTTGCCATTCGTACAACATTTGTTGGTAATTTACCCCCCTCATCAATTCCCAGAACACATTTCTGAACAAACAGCATAGTGCTTTTCACTGATGCTGCATACTCAATATTAAAAAGGAAGTGACCCCCATTGCCACTCCCAATCCCATGGAGATGTCCTCCGGCTCTTCAGTGAGTAGCTTCTCTCCATCCAGGAAGAGTTGGATGTCGCTCTCATCCGCAAAGGGATTCCCCTCTATTCTTATGGTAAGTGATGGGAAGTTTACACATTGTAAGAAGTAAAACAAATGTAAAATTAAGGTTACTACATTTACATTTACATTTTAGTCATTTAGCAGACGCTCTTATCCAGAGCGACTTACAGTTAGTGAATACATATATATATTTATAAATGTTTTTGTATATATATATATATTTTTTTCAAACTGGTCCCCCGTGGGAATCGAACCCACAACCCTGGCGTTGCAAACGCCATGCTCTATCAACTGAGCTACATCCCTGCCGGCCATTCCCTCCCCTACCCTGGACAACGCTAGGCCAATTGTGCGCCGCCCATGAGTCTCCCGGTCGCGGCCGGCTGCGACAGAGCCTGGATTCGAACCAGGATCTCTAGTGGCACAGCTAGCACTGCGATGCAGTGCCTTAGACCACTGCGCCACTCAGGAGACTATTTCAAACAGTAAGTTAACAACTGAGCACAGCACACCTTACACAGTACTACTAACTTTGCATTTATTTATTTGTCTGCTGGGAAATACATACCATGTCTGTGACGTACAGCCCACTTGGATCTTCTTTGAAGAGGTAGTGGAGGAGCAAAATGGCTGCAGTGAACTTCAGACCTTAAATTGGAGGGTGTATAATAAAAAGGCTAGATTAGAATCAATAGAATTAGAACGGCTGCATACTGTTAAGGGTACATTTTACATGCAGTAACATTGATTTATAAAAATAACCATCGTGAGCCTCCTCCGTGTGTGAGAGAAGTGTTGTCTTGTAGAGATTCAGCAACTCCACGGCCACACCCCTCCTCTCCGTTTCTGCAATGATTCTGTCAGCCATTGTGCTGAATCTGGACAGAATGTTTCTGTCCACATCCATACGGAATTTGCTTCTCATCTCTGAGAAAATCTGAAAGTAAATTTGTTTATAATGCATCAATATATCTTGGATTCAGATGACAGTACTTGGCTATGTTACATTAGTTTTACCATTTATTTCTGTCAGACTTTTTGTCTACTTACAATGGCTGACAAATGGAGTGCAATAAGTATGAATGCCCTGACTGCTGCAGAGGCCGTATCACCCTAAATGCTGCATTGCCATTGCAGACGGCAGAATGACCATGCAGCGCCTTTCAAGCTTTGTCGTGGATTTAACGCATCGTCTGGACTTTACATCAAAATAGAGAAGAAAGATAACTTTATTTTGATGGATGTTCATTTTTTGTGGAATTTAAAAAAGTAATCGTTTAATACAGTTAGATGCGCAGAAATGAAAGCAACTTTCGAAAATTAACACTCGGATTATAGTGAAATGTCTGATATCGCGAACAATGTAAAGTATGTATAGATAGGTGTAATCTAGAGGACCGCGTGTTGATTTTTAATTCGAGGCTATCCCGCTAACTTGTTGAATTATGCAACAGAACGTGACAGTCCTTAATTAGGCAGTCTAGACAGCGCAGGTAACTGCAGGTAGGCCCAGACAGCACATTTTTGGTGGTTGCAGCCCCGTTCCACCCCCTTATGTAAGGGAATAATCAACAAGGGGCGATGTGTTCTATGGAAAATAATGAAAGAAGTGGAAGGTGTGTTCCGCCACACTAGGACCTTCAACAGAGTTGCATAGCTGAATAAACTAAGTTAGTCTATTCCTAGAAAACATTGAACCGCTGTAGTTTACAACAATAATCATTTCTAACATGGAAGTTGGGAGAGTTATATTTGAGTGATTCAGTGAAACGTAAGTGAGGGAGGCCCCGCTCTCTCGCTTTCCCAGATGTTTAGTTAATTTAATTCCGATCTCCTTTGCATTATTGTAGCCTTTTCTGTAGCCTGTCAACTATGTGTCTGTCTATCCCTGTTCTCTCCTCTCTGCACAGGCCATACAAACGCTTCACACCGTGTGGCTGCTGCCACTCTAATCTGGTGGTCCCTGTGCGCACTACCCATGTGGAGTTCCAGGTCTCCGGCAGCCTCTGGAACTGCCGTTCTGCAGCCAACAAGGCAGAGTTCATCTCAGCCTATGCTACCCTCCAGTCCCTCGACTTCTTGGCGCTGACGGAAACACGGATTACCACAGAAAACACTGCTACTCCTACTGCTCTTTCCTCGTCTGATCATGTGTTCTCGCATACCCCGAGAGCATCTGGTCAGCGCAGCGGTGGCACAGGAATCCTCATCTCTCCCAAGTGGACATTCCCTGACCCATCTGTCTATCTCCTCATTTGAATTCCATGCTGTCACAGTCACTAGCCCATTCAAGCTTAACATCCTTGTCATTTATCGCCCTCCAGGTTCCCTTGGAGAGTTCATCAATGAGCTTGATGCCTTGATACGTTCCTTTCCTGAGGATGACTCACCCCTCACAGTTCTGGGTGACTTTAACCTCCCTACGTCTGCCTTTGACTCATTTCTCTCTGCCTCCTTCTTTCCACTCCTTTCCTCTTTTGACCTCACACTCTCACCATCCCCCCCTACTCACAAGGCAGGCAATATGCTTGACGTCATTTTTACTAGATGCTGTTCTTCTACTAATCTCACTGCAACTCCCCTCCAAGTCTCCGACCACTACATTGTATCCTTTTCTCTCTCGCTCTCCTCCAACACTACTCACCCTGCCCCTACTCCGATGGTAATGTGCCGTCGCAACCTTTGCTCTCTCTCTCCCGCTACTCTCTCCTCTTCCATCCTATCATCTCTTCCCTCTGCTAAATCCTTCTCCCTCCGATCTCCTGATTCTGCCTCCTCAACCCTCCTCTCCTCCCTTTCTGCATCTTTTGACTCTCTATGTCCCCTATCCTCCTGGCCGGCTCGGTCCTCCCCTCCTGCTCCGTGGCTTGACGACTCATTGCGAGCTCACAGAAGAGGGCTCCGGGCATCCGAGCGGAAATTGAGGAAAACTAGACTCCCTGCGGACCTGTCATCTTTTTACTTCCTCCTCTCTACATTCTCTTCCTCTGTTTCTGCTGCTAAAGCCACTTTCTACCACTCTAAATTTCAAGCCTCTGCCTCTAACCCTAGGAAGCTCTTTGCCACCTTCTCCTCTAACCCTAGGAAGCTCTTTGCCACCTTCTCCTCCCTGTTGAATCCTCCTCCTCCCCCTCCCTCCTCCCTCTCTGTGGATGACTTCGTCAACCATTTTGAAAAGAAGGTTGACGACATCCGATCCTCATTTATTAAGTCAAATGACACCGCTGGTCCTGCTCACACTGCCCTACACTATGCTTTGACTTCTTTCTCCCCTCTCTCACCAGATGAAATCTTGCGACTTGTAATGGCCGGCCGCCCAACAACCTGCCCGCTTGACCCTATCCCCTCCTCTCTTCTCCAGACCATTTCTGGAGACCTTCTCCCTTACCTCACCTCGCTCATCAACTCATCCTTGACCGCTGGCCATGTCCCTTCCGTCTTCAAGAGAGCGAGAGTTGCACCCCTCCTCAAAAAACCTACACACGATCCCTCCGATGTCAACAACTACAGACCAGTATCCCTTCTTTCTTTTCTCTCCAAAACTCTTGAGCGTGCCGTCTCTAGCCAACACTCCTGCTATCTCTCTCAGAATGACCTTCTTGATCCAAACCAGTCAGGTTTCAAGACTGGTCATTCAACTGAGACTGCTCTTCTCTGTGTCACGGAGGCTCTCCGCACTGCTAAAGCTAACTCTCTCTTCTCTGCTCTTATCCTTCTAGACCTATCTGCTGCCTTTGATACTGTGAACCATCAGATCCTCCTCTCCACCCTCTCCGAGTTGAGCATCTCTGGCGCTGCTCACTCTTGGATTGCATCCTACCTGACAGGTCGCTCCTACCAGGTGGCGTGGCGAGAATCTGTTACCGCACCACGTGCTATCACAACTGGTGTCCCCCAGGGCTCAGTTCTAGGCCCTCTCCTATTCTATCTATACACAAAGTCACTTGGCTCTGTCATATCCTCACATGGTCTCTCCTATCATTGCTACGCAGACGACACACAATTAATTTTCTCCTTTCCCCCTTTTGATAACCAGGTGGCAAATCGCATCTCTGCATGTCTGGCAGACATATCAGTGTGGATGTCGGATCACCACCTCAAGCTGAACCACGGCAAGACGGAGCTGCTCTTCCTCCCGGGGAAAGACTGCCCGCTCCATGATCTCGCCATCACGATTGACAACTCCATTGTGTCCTCCTCCCAGAGTGCAAAGAACCTTGGCGTGACCCTGGACAACACCCTGTCGTTCTCCGCTAACATCAAAGCGGTGACCCTATCCTGCAGGTTCTTGCTCTACAACATTCGCAGAGTACGACCCTACCTCACACAGAAAGCGGCACAGGTCCTAATCCAGGCACTTGTCATCTCCCGTCTGGATTACTGCAACTCGCTGTTGGCTGGGCTCCCTGCCTGTGCCATTAAACCCCTACAATTTATCCAGAACGCTGCAGCCCATCTGGTGTTCAACCTTCCCAAGTTCTCTCATGTCACCCCGCTCCTCCGCACACTCCACTGGCTTCCAGTTGAGGCTTGCATCTACTACAAGACCATGGTGCTTGCTTACGGAGCTGTGAGGGGAACGGCACCTCCTTACCTTCAGGCTCTGATCAGACCCTACACCCAAACGAGGGCACTACGTTCATCCACCTCTGGCCTGCTAGCCCCCTTACCTCTACGGAAACACAGTTCCCACTCAGCCCAGTCAAAGCTATTCGCTGCTCTGGCACCCCAATGGTGGAACAAGCTCCCCCACGACGCCAGGACAGCGGAGTCACTGACCACCTTCCAGAGACACTTGAAACCCTACCTCTTTAAGGAATAACTGGAATAGTATAAAAGTAATCCTTCTACCCTTCTACCCCTCCCTCCCACACCCCCCCATTAAAAAAAAAAGAAAAAAAGTGGTTGTCCCACTGGCTATCATAAGTTGAATGCACCAATTTGTAAGTCGCTCTGGATAAGAGCGTCTGCTAAATGATGTAAATGTATTGTTTTAAGATGTCCTTGATGCCTTGTTGTTTCAGAAAATGTTATATTTTTCAGTCCTTTTCATTTGGTCTTGTAGGGAACTTATGTTCGGTCTCTTTTGGCACTCCACCTGCATCTTTTCAACATGTAACTTCTGACTGAAGGAATCCTCACCAGTCTCAATCTGAAAATCAAATATAAATATAAACAAATATTGATACATACAGCATCAAACACGATCAAAGTCTATAGAAAAAGGCTAAATGTCCCTTATTCACAAAGCATCCGAGTGCTGATCTAGGATCAGGTCTCCACCTGTTCATACAATCGTATTTATGATCTTAAAAACTGATCCGGGATCAGCAGGTCGACTTTGACACACTGAATATGGGACATTATTTGTATGCAGATACCTTGGCTATTCTGGTTGGGTCTTCATTTTCGGTGTCATCTGGGCTTCTTTTTTTCCCTTGCCTCCCAAACCTCTTCTGCATTTTCTGTACTTGTACAACGTGAGCAAGCGGTTGATGTTCTTTTTTGTATTTATTCTTTATCATGCCGTGCCATGACTCCTTAAAATAAAATGTAGAGGAGAAATTATTTGGACAGAGGTCAGAGGAGCAGACTAGAGATGGTCTTGTAATGCTGCTGGAAATGTGATGGTTTAACAATGTGAGAAGAAAATATCCAAGCCAGCACATTATGGTCTGGGTAGGCACAATGGTGTAAAAAGGTTATTAGTGTGAATAAATGTGAGTAGGAAAACTGAAGAATTCTTATACCCCACTACCTAGCCATTCCCTGTCTGGTCTCTCAACGAGGGGTACTTTTGAATAAGCGCTGTGCACACATCCATGTATTGCTGGGTAGTGGGGTACCTAAAGCAAAAGAGAAACATAC